AAAAATAACGCCGAGTAAATGGGGCTGTGCATATTTCGAAAGTCGATCAGGAAAGAATGCTTGGGTGTTCGTTTGCACTAGGTGTATTAGACTTAGCATCAAGATTATATGACAAGCAAAATTCAGTGGAATAGTCTTAGACAATTGAGCCAGTGGAAACAGCTCACCTATGGCATTCTCAAAAGATTAGCAGCCCAAAATTTCCGTATTTGCCAATAAGGCGTCTGGAGTCCTATGCACACAGTTCATCAGCATAATGACAATTGTACTACGCTTTCGGCATTTGGCAGTAAAGACGAAAATGGAAAAGCTTTCTCCACTGCCATGCTAATTCGATTGGCCCATGTATGTATATATATATATATATATATATATATATATGTATATATGGGGGTGTGCGATAGAATTACCTTCACGTGGTGTACCCCGGGCAACGTATACTCACACGGCAAAAAGTCTATAAACCGGCAGTTGACTTTTCACTTCAAACTATCATCACCTCTCTCTATGTCAAATTCGACGACTCACCTCACCTTTTTTCTACCTTTTCTACCTTCGTCTTTGAAACACTTTTCTGTTACCCCCCCCCCCCTTCCTCTCGGCTTTTTTTTCACTTTGATGCTCCTTCCTCTCTGCGAAGTCTGAAGTCAACTAAAGGGCTAATGATCACCATCAAAACGTCTGCCATTTGATATATATATATATGACAGTTATCATTAGCTCATTATTTCACTTCGAGCTTCAAAGGGGAAGGGGAGGAGCATCAAAGTTACAAAAGGTGAAGAGGGGAACGGAAGAGTGATTTACAGATTTAAAAGAGACAGACAGACGGACACAATGGTAGAGAAAATGTAAGGTAAGGTGAGTACTGCGGAAGTGGCCGAATATGACATACAGTGGGGTCATGGGGGTTTGAAGTGAGAAGTTAACTGCATTAATTGTATAGGCACATTTTGCGTTGGGTGCACCACATGGAGGTGAGTCTATCACAAACCCCGGTTTCCAAATACCACTCTAGAAACACGCACATATTCCTTGATCGTATTCTCTTATCTTCCTCTTCACTTCCATTCATCCTCTTTGTTCTTCATTATCGCCCTCGGTGTACAAAGTATCTGCAGTCTCCCCATTAGAGTTGGGGTTTAAATAAAGATTTGGGGGAGGGATCGGACGAGGGGTGTACACTAATGTGCTGATAAGCATTGAAGGATTCCGGGTACCTTAAAAGTCAGTTTTGATCGTGTGGAATATTGAGAATTTGAAAGTAATGGGAGCCATACTTTGAGAGAAATGGTGAATTGAAATTTGGACACACTTTGCCAGTTCTAAAAGTGTGATGGAGAGATCAAAATTGAGGTGGTTCTTGAGCATACGGAAATTTCTCTCTTATAATATGCCCTGATGAGTGTATTTACATGCTAATGGCGTAAGCGTTCTTCATTTATGATGAAGAGTCTAGTCCTATGATTTCGCCCATTTTGATAAAATTAATCACCCTTTTGTTCTCACCATTGGCAAAAAAATAGTCATCCTCTCAATATTTCCAGGTCTGTTAAGGTCAATTGAATAAAAGCGTTCACTTGACCGAACAATCATTGGTGAGGAGCCTGATCGAGTAATATTTAGCTACTCACTGTCATATCTATAAAGTAATTTCATTTAAAGTAACACATTTCGAGGAAAGTATAATTCGGAGGCACAGATGTGAAGTCAGTCGTGAACGAAAAGTATTAGAAACATTGGTGTTGGAAAATTAAGCTATTAGAAATAGGTGCAGGTGAAAAGGTTAATTGAGAGATGAGGTCAAGTCGATCACGTCTTGCCTAATTGGTGGGTGATAACTCTTTAGAACGAGGGTGAATACGTGATCTGTCTAACCTTAACTTACAAAAATTTAGCAAATTGGAATTTAGGGATAGACGAGTTATAATAGGCACTGAAGGGATTTGCGAGAACTATTATGGACTCTTATTTTGAATAACCTCATTTTAAACCAAGTACAGGCGGCTTCAACTGGGTCAGTGGATGCACTCGCGGTATACATTAAAAATGTATTAAGAAGAGAATTCCGAGTTCGATGAATTTGTGGAAATAATAGAGTGCTCAAATGGCTTATTGCATTTACATACATCTTATGGAAGGACTTTCTGTCGTATCCAATTAAAGCAAGACTTAATATGCAGGCAATTGTTGGAAATCACGATTTTATTCACCACTAATTTTGTTAGATAATTATATTAACGAACTCAAATTCTAAGTTGTAAATTTGGAATGCGGTGGATCGATTTTCTTACTAATGGGGCCCTCTTTTCCCTTCTAGTTGAAGTATTGCTTTGTTTCAGGTGCTCTGATCTCTCAACCAGCACACAATAGCCACCACGTGATATCAGTTGGAGTACCACCTGAGTAGGATTGCTTGGGACCATGATATTCTCAAAATTCTTAGGGAAACTGTGGAGGTTCATTCGTATGCGACTGAAGTGGTGGATGTAGGAGTATGTACATGACTGCAAACGAATTCTATGAATGGACGGAAAGTACTGGATTGGTGAAGACAGTTGAGGCAAAACAGATGGAGTTAAGCTGTTGTTGAGATACTAATGTCCCCGTAGATCACGCTGAAACTCAACCCCTCGTCAACTTAATAAACAAATCCCAGTCAGTGATTTTAGATTGGAAGAGTGGTTCAAGTTTTAGACGACCCAGTTATTTAAATGGCTTTATTTAAGATTATGGTCCAATCTGAAGCGTGCCCAGATGTAAGCAAACAAGATTCGGTGTTGCTTTGTGTCGAGTAGAATGGTAATTAAGGAAGTGTTCAGTTTGAGGTAGTCTGATTTCATTTTATGTAAGGCTAACAGTTTTTTATTAGAACGACTAAAGTTGTTAGTTGAGGGTTCGGAAGTGCTTGGCAAAAACCCGCTTTTGCACAATCCTTCGGCAATGTTATCATTAGACTTACCTCCACGTGGTGGTCCATGGACAACGTAGACTCTTATGTTGTAGAAAAGTCCATAACTTGCAGTTGATTTTAAACTATAATGATTAGTCTGAAAGGAAATCGCCCTTGTCTTGCGAATTACAACTTCTATACATCCATCAATGGAATGCTGGAGGGAGGTCACAAGACAAGAAGATCCAAATCCAGAAAATCCTGCATACCTATGATAAAGAGATATTCACAATAATGGAAGCCAACCTTATGAATGACAATCTCAAATACTACTAATTTCCAGGTTACACCTTATATCACCACCCTTTAGACCGAGAAGTGGCAAGTGGAATTTTGACTGAAGTAAAAGAAGGTCTCACGTCACATTACGATCTAATCAAGAGTATGGGCTCGAAGCAAGACATATGCGAAATACTCAGATAAAATGTTTGGAAATGGGGGTGGGCGAAAGACTTACCTCCACGTGGTGCACCCTGGGAAATGTATACTCATACGGCGAAAAGTCTATTAATTGGCAGTCGACTTCTGACTCCAAAATACCATCACCCCACTGTATGTCAAATTCGACTTCTTCAATCGTGCTCACCTCACCTTTTTTTTAACTTTGTGTCTGTCTCTTTTACATTTCTGAAACACTCTTCTGTTTCCCCCCCATCTCGAACAATTTCACTTTGATGTTCCTTCCCATCTGTGAAGCCTGAAGTCAACTAAAGGGCTAATGATAACTATCAAAACGCCCGCCATTTGATATAAATAAATAAATAATGTTTGGAAATGTCAAAACCACTTCAAAATATAATCTACTTCAGAATAGACCCAACTACGATCTTCTGAGCGTCCCACACAAAACTGTAGTATTAGGAGACTTCAACGCCCATTCCACAAGATGGGGCTACAAGATACAAACATAGCTGGAATCACACAAAACTGTAGTATTAGGAGACTTCAACGCCCATTCCTTCGGATAGGGTTATAAGAGCATAAACACAGCTGGAAAGGAAATCAAAGACATGCTCAACAGTAGATCTCTAGAACTTATTTATAGCGGAGAGGATACAGTTGAACAAGAACAACTCCTCACTTGCTCCTGGCTTCGAGCGACATCAGCGAGCTGATACACTGCAAAATAATTGACGATCATGGTTCTGGTCACGAACCAGTCATTGCTAGTATTAACATCGGCAGTAAAAACAAGACACTGAAAATACCAACTAAGCCTTCATGGAACTTCAAGAAGGCCGAATGGCCTAGTTTCACTAACCTCATAGTGAATGAATTTCACCCAAGTCCCATCAACTTCAACCAACATCCTGACAAATTGAGCAAAATATCACGAACATAATGATCAGATGTTCAAAGAAAACTATGCCCCATGGCAAGACAAAACACTACCGAGTGTTCACCATTAAGTCAAGAATCAATCCACCTAAACATTGATAATCACCCAAAAACAGCTTTATTACTGATAACTAATAAGTAGAAATGTGTGACAGTCCAGTTGGAATGCATACATCAATGAGCTCACGAAATCATAATTGAGTATAAGGCGGACAAGAAGCAAAAGCTTAGTTATTGCTATATCCGTACCGTTATATCAGTGACAATGCATTGGTTAACATTTTTGTCACTTTGTAATTTGGCGAATACCTCTTTTCCTTTTTGTCAACTAATACCTCCGTATTCATCAGTCTTTCCAACTATTCCACCCAAAACCATAAAGAAATTCAGTTTCTCCTTCTTCGTCTACCAGGTTATTGTCCACCTTAATCTTCTTCATCTCCACTTCTTCTGGCTTAACCTCTTCACGCTCCTCTACCACGTAATTCATTTCCTGCTCTTCCAACACAATTCTAGGTTCGAAAGTCAGTTGAAAGTCATCACTTACGCCGCAGCTCCTTTCACTCACTTTCTTCTTCTTCTTCTTCTTCTTCTTAATCATTCCATCATCATCATCATCATCATCATCACCATCACCATCACCACCACCACCACCATCATATCTAACCGCGAACAAGCTCATTGGGTGTCGCATATGCCAAACCTATACTCACAAGATCAAAATGACAGGAAGTTGATTCCCTCAACTCGACTACTACATCTTGACAGTTGAACGAGTAGGCTTAGTACAAGCAAATGGGTCCGTAATCCCCACAACGCCTATCCATCGACCTCAAGTCACTCTTCGATTGACATTGGACTCACACCATTTCATTCATTAACGCTCATGCTATCGTAACTAAAATTTCCATATCACAGAGCTTTCTTGCTAGTTGTGCATTAGAATTGCACTTCGCGGGTTTTATTCTAACATGATTTCACTTATTAATTTTAACCTGAAGACTTCATTGCTCGCAATGTGACCTCGATATTTTGTGTACAGCAAATAGTTAATAAAATCCCAATTGTCTGTCCTTATCGAGCGTGTTGAAAGAAATTACAAGAGCATAGGTCAATGATTATCTACATCTTTAATCTCATCTTCAGGTGAATGCCAATTTTATTGCATTTGTTTGCGTTAGGCTGCCTTAGAGTTCACCAAGTTTGGCTAAATCACACCAATTAGACTCTTAAAGTTCACAGCCACTTTGATTTCCTCATCCCTCTTTACAGTGGACATCTTTATTTTCATGATTGGAACTTTCTACAACCACGTGATAACAGAAACAAGAGCAGATCAAAAGATTCAAATTCGTTCCGAATGGGAATTTGGGCAGATTAAATATAAGAGGAGCTGAAAGGCATCTGCATGGATAGTGATTGAGCTAAGTGGAATGGAATCTCGCCAAATATATACATATATACATAAATGGAGTGATATGCAATTTTCGCTTTACCTGAATCCCTAAATTTCATGGAAAAAAGTCGTGACAAACACCAACCTTGGCAAGGCAACATTATCAACTCACTCAGATACCTCCCCCCCTGGCACATTCGAGAATTTCTACTCTCATGCTGACATTCGTGATGCTCAAACTAACCTCAGCGTTGTTTCACAAAAGCACTCACAAAATCAATAATCAATCGTTTCATGGCGATGACAAAACGGATTAACGCAATTGATATAAGTTATTAAGAGCAACGGGAAATGTTTCGTTGAAACAGTAATCCCAGTTTTCAGCTGATGCAACCCCTACAACATGCCGCACAATCTCTCCACCTCTCAATGTTCCAGTTTCAACTTAACAATGCCTGTGTAATGTGATTGGCACGACAAGACTCATCGTAGGTCTGATGGATGTGCAAATTATTAAACATGCATGTAAAAGGAAGAGCTGCATGGCCATAAGGCATTTACGAGTCAAGTGGTTATTGGCCATACTAGGGAAGAGTGCAATCAATTTTGATGTGATTACTTTTCTAAAATTGTTAAATGTAAATCGGCTGCGAATGTGAATACCCCAATTGTAATTGACACCCCTATGAAGGTGTAAAGGTGTACAATGATAGAGGTCAAGGGTTTGTTCCCATCGTGCGCCTCATGAGAGTGGAATTGGCAACCGCACCGGCTAAGTCTGGTGAACTGATTGGGAGGACGAAGTTGAGTGCCACAGGGGAGACTCTGTGATGGCACAGCCAATGCTTTCCCAAATGAGTCGGAGTTTATGCCATCTTCTCCAACTTAGTGCAAAATATTTGACTACTTTGAGTGGTTACTGCCTTCAATTAACTTCATGTCGAGTAGATGAGCACAGCACATCTCATGACACGAATCCTCCAAGTGTTTTTACAACTGCCAACTATTACAGACTCTCCCCTGTTTGTTGGTCGATAAGCCACCAAACGCCACACGTCCCCACTCACCCACTCAATTATTCCACCTCACTTTCTTGGGTAGGAAATGGTGAGTTACATGACAGCACTCCATTAAGTCAAGAATCAATCCACCTTATCATTGTTAATCACCCACCAACAGCATTATCGCTAATTACTGATAAGTAGAAATGTGTGATAATCGAGTTGGAATGCAGACATCAGTGAGCTCACAAACCCATAATTTAGTATAAATCGGAGAAGTAGCAAATGCACAGTTTTTCACTTTATTTACAAAACAATCATTACAAATGAATAAGTGTAGGCTTGTACGGAAGATATAAAATGAGGTGAATGAGTGAAAACCACCCACCCACCCACCCACCTCCCTCCCTCCCTCCCTCCCTCACTCACTCGCCCCAACCAACTCCGATCAATATTGCACAGTTGACGCTTGCAAGCAGGTAGACAATGCAAACCATTTGCCACCTTCGAATGCACTAGTTCCACTGCACATGTGGAGATGACAGGTGTCAACTTGTGCCACATTGATCACCATCAAAAGTGGCAGTACCGAGCACTGAGACACAGTGCAGAGTGGTGCAGAGTGGTGCAGAGTGGGGCAGAGTGGTGAAGGGATGGAAAGGGAAGAAACAATTTGAATTGGAATGGTCCTGAAGAGGACCGTGACAACGTTCTAATTCGTGTAGGTTGTTGCAGAATACATACGAAGTGTTGACTGAGTGGAAACATTTGGAAGACACCGAGGAAAGATCGACGCTGCTTCACACTAATATCAACAACTGCAGTCGAAACCGCTTCCTATGGAGTAGCAGGTGTCGTCAGACAGGAATGATTCTCAACTTCCGAAAGAACAGATCTTCGACATGTAGAACGCGATCGATTCCTACGTGGTGCAGGTGATCGACCATGATGACTACTGCGATGACTCTTTCGATAGGACCACTTTCCATCTCCTCCTCCTCCTCCACGTCCTTTTGAATCATTAGTTGCTGTCTTTCGTTTCGAACGTGAGGATGATTCCGGGGCATTCGAGGTCTGCCTGGGAGGAATGGTTGAGATGGGACTGCGATCACGAGAACACTCGCGACGGCGTTCTCTTGACCCACGTCGTCGAGAAAAACGACCA